ACTATGTGAAAAGACCTAACCTACGTTTGATAGGTGTACCAGAAGGGGACGAAGAGAATGAATCCAAGCTGGAAAATACTCTTCAGGACATCATCCAGGAAAACTTCCCCCACCTAGCAAGACAGGCCAACACTCAATTGCAGGAAATACAGAGAACACCACAAAGATATTCCGCAAGAAGAGCAACCCCAAGGCACATAATCGTTAGATTCAACAGGGTTGAAATAAAGGAGAGAATACTAAGGGCAGCCAGAGAGAAAGGTCGGGTCACCCACAAAGGGAAGCCCATCAGACTCACAGCAGATCTCTCGGCAGAAACTCTACAAGCCAGAAGAGAGTGGGGGCCAATATTCAACATTCTTAAAGAAAAGAACTTTCAACCCAGAATTTCATATCCAGCCAAACTGAGCTTCAGAAGTGAAGGAAAAATAAAATCCTTTGTGAACAAGCAAGTACTCAGAGATTTTGTCACCACCAGGCCTGCTTTACAAGAGCTCCTAAAAGAGGCACTACACATAGAAAGGATCAACCAGTACCAGCCATTCCAAAATCACACTGAATGCTAAAGAGCATCAACATAATGAAGAATCTACAACAACTAACAGGCAAAACAGCCACTTAGCATCAAAATGGCAGTATCAAATTCACACATAACAATATTAACCCTAAATGTAAATGGACTAAATGCACCAATCAAAAGACACAGACTGGCAAATTGGATAAAAATCCAAAACCCATCAGTGTGCTGTATACAGGAAACCCATCTCACATGCAAAGATACACAAAGGCTCAAAATAAAGGGATGGAGGAAGATTTACCAAGCAAATGGAGAGCAAAAAAAAAACAGGAGTTGCAATTCTCATCTCTGATAAAATAGACTTTAAAGCAACAAAGATCAAAAGAGACAAAGAAGGCCATTACATAATGGTAAAAGGATCGATACAACAAGAAGAGCTAACGATCCTAAACATATATGGACCCAATGCAGGAGCACCCAGATACATAAGGCAAGTTCTTAATGACTTACAAAAGGACTTAGACTCCCACACAATAATAGTGGGAGACTTTAACACTCCACTGTCAATACTAGACAGATCAACCAGACAGAAAATCAACAAGGATATCCAGGGCTTGAACTCAGACCTGGAGCAAGCAAACCTGATAGACATTTACAGAACTCTCCACCCCAAATCCACAGAATACACATTCTTCTCAGCACCACATCACACCTACTCTAAAATTGACCACATAATTGGAAGTAAAGCACTGCTCAACAAATGCAAAACAACTGAAATCATAACAAACAGCCTCTCAGACCATAGTGCAATCAAGTTAGAACTCAGAATTCAGAAACCGACCCAGAACCGCACAGCTTCATGGAAACTGAACAACTGGCTCTTGAATGTTGACTGGGTAAACAATGAAATGAAGGCAGAAATAAAGAAGTTCTTCGAAACCAATGAGAACGAAGACACAACGTGCCAGAACTTCTGGGACACATTTAAAGCAGTCTCTAGAGGAAAGTATAAAGCAATAAGTGCCCATATGAGGAGAATGGAGAGATCCAAAATTGACACCCTATCGTCAAAATTGAAAGAGCTGGAGGAGCAAGATCAAAAAAACTCAAAACCCAGCAGAAGACAAGAAATAACTAAGATCAGAGCTGAGCTGAAGGAGATTGAGACACAAAAAACCCTTCAAAAAATCAATAAATCCAAGAGCTGGTTTTTTGAAAAGATCAACAAAATAGACAGACCACTAGCCAGATTGATTAAAAAGAAAAGAGAGAACAACCAAATAGATGCAATAAAAAATGATAAAGGGGAAATCACCACAGATTCCACAGAAATCCAGACCATCATCAGAGAATATTACAAACAACTCTATGCGCATAAACGAGTAAACCTGGAAGAAATGGATAAATTCCTGGACTCCTGTGTCCTCCCAAGCCTAAACCAGGAGGAAGCTGAAACTATGAATAGACCAATAACAAGGTCTGAAGTTGAGGCAGCAATTAAGAGCCTACCACACAAAAAAAGCCCAGGTCCAGACGGGTTCACAGCCGAATTCTACCAGACACACAAGGAGGAGCTGGTACCATTCCTTCTAAAACTATTTCAAACAATCCAAAAAGAGGGAATCCTTCCCAAATCATTTTATGAGACCAACATCATTCTGATACCAAAACCCGGCAGAGACTATTTCTGATTGTCAGCCCCAAGCTCCCTTTGGTTGTAAAATGCTTCAAAATCTATACATAGAAATAAGTTTTAGAAGTTGTAGTTTTCAAATAAGGAAAATTCAGGTAACACCAATTGGCTTCTCCCTATGCCTATTTTAATTTTAATTTTGTTTCCTGTAGTCAAAACTTTTTCCTTCTATTGCCCTTGAAATTACTCATTATTTCTTTTGTATCTCCATTTAAGAGTTATGTTTCTTAAACTATCTAACCAAACACTTTTCCACTAATACTCATTAATCTTAATATCTTTTGCTTTCAGAAAACCACTAAGAAATCAGGTTATTTGAAGGTAAATCCTCCATTTTCATTGATATGGATGTGAGTGATGACTTTCATCGTTTACTAGATAACTGCCTTTCCTTCTGAGAAATCTATGCAATAATCTCTTCTGGAAGCTTCTGGGTCCCAGGCCCCTAACTACTGTGAAATATTGAAATTATAGTGGAAATTCCATGTGGGAGCCATATTATAGCAAGAAATTAGAATGGGACCCCTAAGACAGATCCTATTTATGAATTATAATGATTTTGCCCCAGACTAAGCAAAACGAAGGGATGCAAACGTTATCTATGGGGCACCTGCCTGAGAGAGTATCTACACAGCTGTCCCTCAAAGTTCTTTTCCAACACTCATGTTGCAATCTGTAATGTATCCCTCTGACATAAAAAAAACCTTGCTAAATATCCTCATGTAGTTTCCCATGATAACAGCTTTTGATGTAAAACTCTGCTGTAGTTTTCTCAATCGACATGTACTGAACAATAGTCTTAAGATGAACCTGTTTGGAAAACCAAAATCTAGATTTAAGAAAATAATTTAATAATTTGGAATTTAAACATGACAACAGTTGTCTTTCTCAACTTGCCTTTATACTGTTTTATTTCTATTTTGTCTGTAATAATGTCACCATTTTAAGAACCAAATTAAATATAACCACAGGAGAGCCTCTTCCTGTTTCTGTTGGGTTTTTCAATACTATTTCAGGAAGTATTTAGTGAAGCTATATGGTATAGTAGTTAACATGGGCTTTGAGGTGAGATAGACTCAAATTCCAGTTCCATCATTAATATAATTGTGGATATCCTTTCTAAATTCTACTTTATTTCTCCATTTAAAAGGGAGAGTAATACCCACCCAAGGGTAGCTGCAATCAAAATGAGATAATGTGTTTAAACACACAGCACACAGCAGGCACATAGTAATTACTCAATATACAGCAGCTAGTATTTCAGATATAGACATAGACTGAAAATCTGGAATATGAAGAAAAAAATTCTTAATTTTACCACCTTAGAATTATAAACATGATTCCTTTGTAATTCTATCCACATAAAAATTAATTTTTACATAATTATAATTGTAATACACAATTTGTATATCTTTTTTAACATTATAATCACTTTTCCATGTTACTATGTGTAGTTCATAATTACCTTCTAAATTTTTGCCTGAGATTTCATTAAATTCCATAATTTAGCCACTAAATTTCTGTCAAATATTTGAGGTGTTTACAAATCATGCCATAATAACATTTCATGTATATCGCTTTTCCATCTAGCGGAATTCTTTCCTTAGGATGAATTCTCTAAGCAGGCTTTTTTAGGGTAAGCAGGATCTCTTTCATGACTTTGAGAGTTTTGTTAAACTCCTTTCCACAAGTTTATAAAATTTGTAGTTCCTCCACCAATGTGCACATGTCATATTGTCCTTGATAACCTTCTTTATTAATACTAATATGTTACATTTACTGAGTCTTTCCATAAGACAAGCACTGATCTAAGTGCTTTACATGTATCATGTCATCATCCTCACAACAAATCTCTGATGTAACCACTATTAGTCATCCTCTTCCATAGATGAGGAAGCTAAGGTTCAGAAAGTTTATAAGCCATGTCCAAGGTCACACAGCAACTAAATGGTAGTATCTAAACTAAACGCAGACCCCGTCTAATGCCATGGTGCTCTTAGTCACCTGGCTATTTTGCTGCTTTACTCTTCCACCACCATCTCCCACTTAAATAACAGGTTTAAAAGATCTTCATTGATGTTTTAATATGTAGCTTGTTGATTACTGGCAAGGTTGATCATTTTTACATATGTTTAAAACTATTTTTTTCCTATGTTATTTGTTCATAAGCAATTTCTGTAATGTGATGGGGAAAATTCTGTTCCTCATGTGCTTTTTACCAATTGGGCATGTCAACAAAATTTCTCACAAGGAGGCCCGGGTCCCTTCTTGATGACCCCTCTGAGCTGTCAATTTATAAGGGTATTTTTGTGAATATGTAATCCAAACAACCTGACCATCATTCAAAACGTACCTCTCATCATATACACAAACATCATTAAAACGCCATCTGTGTTTTACTAAGCAAAACTGGATTGACCTAATAACTGGCAAAGTCGATCATTTTTACATATGTTTAAAACAATTTTTTCCCTATGTTATTTGTTCATAAGCAATTTCTGTAATGTGATGGGGAAAATTCTGTTCCTCATGTGCTTTTTACCAATTGGGCATGTCAACAAAATTTCTCACAAGAGGCACAGGTCCCTTCTTGATGACCCCTCTGAGCTGTCAATTTATAAGGGTATTTTTGTGAATATGTAATCCAAACAACCTGACCATCATTCAAAACGTACCTCTCATCACATACACAAACATCATTAAAACACCATCTATGTTTTACTAAGCAAAACTGGATTGACCTAATAAATCTAAATTGTAATAATCCTATTTTAAAATATGCTCCATTACCTGCATTATGTCTTGCAATATATCCAAGTGCCCACGCTGCAGCCTCCTTGACTCCAGGGTCAAAATCTTCCAAGCATATGACCAGTGTATCCAGTGCTCCACAATCAACTATTGCCTGAGCTAGCTGGGGAGAATGTTTACCAACTGCTCGTAACACAAAGGCAGCTGCTTTCTTGTAGAAGCGCTACAAGGGCAAAATAGACAAAACCCAAAATGAATTGAGATCTTAGATAACCAAAATCTAAAATAGACCAAAACTAACATAAAATAACATTAATATAAATCAGGCTCAACAGCTTTTGAATATAAAAGATGAAAAACATCCTACAAAATAATTTTTGATTATTTGATGTTCCCTCATTGCTTCTGTTCAGTAACTAAACTGAAAACAAGGTAGATTTTACATTGTATTTCAAATGTTTTACCGTAAGGCATTTTGGAAATTGTATAAAATAAATTATAACGATATCTTCCACAAATTCATAAAATAATGAGATTTTATGTATCTGCATTATACCAAAATGTATTGTTTGACTCTTGGGAATTCTTGGATTGTTAGCATGTGCAACTAAGCTCACTGCCAACTGACTAATTCATTTCCTTTACTTGCCCTCAGTCTTTGAGCGTGGTAAGCCTTTCATGACCTCAACTAATCTTTCTGGTGTCCCAAGTTATTCTGAAATAACAACCATGTTCCAAGATATGCTTACCAATCATCAAATACACATAAAGGCAAAACATTAACAACACATTTTAAAACTTTTCCTGGTAAATAAATCCGCCAAACAATGAGATATAAGTTACTTATTTTCTCTAGAAATGCTTTTTTAAAAGATAAAAACATATTACTTACCATTTTGTAAATTTTGAATATGACTTCATATTTTTATTTCCTATAGATACATTTTATCTGACTAAGGAATGAGTAAATGAAAGTGAAACACAAGACTAACATGTTTCTCTTCCAATCACTAAAAACATTAAATGTGTAGGAAAAATGTGGCTGTGATACTCACTGTGGTTTTATGGTTAGCATAATGACACAGTGATGGTCTCCTCTTTCTGTTATTAATAAAACCCAATTAATCCCCTATTTTACATTCTAAGTTTCTATTTCTTCACAGTGACTACTGAAAAGTGATTAGTTGACTACAGCATTTAATTTGAAAGCATTCTATTCACTTAGACTATAATATTGATACAATGAAAATTACAGGAGAAAAAACACATCAAGTATATATTAAACAGAGTATATCTTAAAATTTTGTATATGTTGCTAATATAAGAAATATGCTATGTTAGTACTGATGTTTTTGACATATTTTCTTTAGTTTCTTAAATTATACAAATAACCAAATTTCTACTATTTACTGTAAAAATTAGTATAGAGTTTTGAAGTAGATTTCCATAGATCATTTTCTTACAATTGCGGGGTAAAAAATGGTGATACATTTATTTTCATTACCTTAGCTAATTTGACTTTTTATACTGCAGAATTGTCAAATTTACAGACCATTTATAGGCATCAACAGTCACTATTAACTACAGTGCCTATAACTCACACTTTCTGATCTCATTCCCTCGTTCTCCTAATTTTCACTTCTCCCAAATTCCTAACACTCTTCTCTCCCATTCCAGACCAAAAGAAATGCTTTTTTTAAAAAAGAAAAAAAAAAAAAGCAAAACCACAGGACTTTGTACCTCATAAAGAGGAGATTAAATATCCTGTGAGAAATGACTTAAAGGCTGGTAGGTGAGGGAGACAGAAGCTTGCACAAAGGCCTCATGTTTTTACTGCCTCCTCACTTTTCTGCGCTAGTGCTTGTCTCTCTACAACTAATTAACATTCATTCAACTTAGAAAACTTCTACTGAAAATCTTCTATGTGGGATACCAGAATGCAGACATTGCTCTCAAAAGAAAGAGCTAAAAGTCCAAGAAGAAGAAAGTTCAACAGTATTTGGTGATAGAAGGAATATCCACAAGAAAAATAAACTTTCTGTGACACCTTGTAGAGCTGTAACAGGCATTAGTAAATGACTCTCTAGGCCAGGTGTGGTGGCTAACACCTATAATCCCAGCACTTTGGGAGGCCAAGGTGGGCAGATTATCTGAGGTCAGGAGTTCGAGACCAGCCTGGCTAATGTGGTGAACCCTGTTTCTACTAAAAATACAAAAAATTAGCCAGCCATGGTGGTGCACATCTGTAATCCCAGCTACTTGCAAGGCTGAGGCAGGAGAATCACTTGAACCCGGGAGGCAGAGGTTGCAGTGAGCTGAGATCGTACCACTGCACTCCAGCTTGGGCAACAAGGGTGAAACTCCATCCCCCCACCCCCCCCAAAAAATAGACTCTCTGGTCTATAAACATAGGGCAAATTCCTGCACCATTAGGATTTATTTTTATTCTGGCAAAATACACATAACATAACATTTACCATTTTAACCATTTTAAAGTATATGATTTCGTGGGATTTAGTGCATTCACAATGCTGTGCAACTATCACCACTGCCTAGTTCTGGACTATTATCATCACCCCAACAAGAAACTCCTTACAAATAAAGCAGTCACTTCTCATTCCCTTCTCCCTCCAGCCCCTGGCAACTACTAATCTGCTTCTGTCTCTGTGTATTTGCATATTCTGGACAGTTCCTATAAATGGAACCATACATCCTGTGGCCTTTTGTGTCTGGCTTCTTGCACTTAGCATAATGTTTTTATGGGTCATTCATGATGTAGCACTTTTCTCAATATTTTATTACTTTTATGACTAATAGTCCATTGTACAGATATACAACATTTTGTTTAACCATTCATCTATTGATGGACTTTGTTGCTTTTACCTTTTGGCTACTGTGGATGCTGCTGCTATGAACATTTGTGTGCAGGCTTTGCTGGAGCATCTGTTTTCAATTCTTTTGGATATAGAGCTAGGAAGAGAACTGCTGAGTCACATGGTAACAACTGCTTTACTGATTATGGACCTGCCAAAGTGTTCTCACAGTGGTTGCCCCCATTTTACATTCCTACCAGCAATGCGTGAAAATTCAGATTTCTCCATGTCCTCACCAAGACTTGTTATTTTCTTTTTATTTTTTATTATGGGCACCCGAAAAGGCAGTAAGTGATACCTTGTTGTGGTTTTGATTTGCATTTCTTAATGACTAATGCTGCTGAGCATCTTTTCTTATATTTCTTGGCCATTTGTATGCATTCTTTGGAGAAATGTCTATTAAAGTCCTTTGCTCATTTGTCTTTTTTTTTTTTTTTTTTTTTGAGATGCAGTCTTGCTCTGTTGCCCAGGCTGGAGTGCGGTGGTGCAATCTGGGCTCACTGCAACCTCTGCCTCCTGGGTTCGAGCAATTCTCCTGCCTCAGCCTCCCAAGTAACTGGGACTCCAGGCACACACTGCCACATCCAGCTCATTATTTTATTTTATTTTTTTATTTTATTTTATTAGAGACAGGGTTTCACTGTGTTGCCCAGGCTGGTCTTGAAATCCTGAGATCAGGCAATTTGCCCACCTCGGCCTCCCAAAGTGCTAGGATTAATTGTCTTGTCTTTTTGTTACAAAAATACGGAATTAATCCCAAAGATATGTCAAGAAAGCTGTGCCCCTAGGTTATAATAAACTAACAGAATAGAATGAACAGCCCAAAACCTACCTACAGGTGATCCTTAACTATTGTGGAAACCAAATAGCTGGCACTGTATAGAAATAAAAGTCGTACCAGATAAGGGGGGAAATAGGGCACCTTTAGACAGTGCTTAACAGAGCTGACATGCCTTTAACTTGGTAAAAAACATGTATCAAACCTTCCATTACACACCTTTATTCTCTTCTTTTTCATTGCTTCTCTACCGCTTGCTTCAAGGGTGTCTCTCACTGTTTCCCTTAACTTGGTTTCACCAGCATATAAGGATTGCTGAAATCAACAATTTGTCTAGGGTCCATATACTTCCCTAAGACAGATCTGATAGCTTTGTTTAAAACTCCCATATACAGAAATGCTGCTTTATATATAACTTCTCCTAAAAATATATTTTCTCCTTATATTATCAATAAAAGAAAAATGGTGGTTATCAGTACCAATGCAAAATACCCTAAAAATACTATATGCAGCTCAGAGAATTAAAGATTGTGTTAACCCCCTAATAATTCTGATGCCTACAGGCTTGCAAACTGTATCCAAACTGTCACATTTTAAAAAATCTAAAACAAAAAACATATAACTAGTTCTTTAAAATTCTTACATTCTGTTCTGCCAATGAATAAACAAGCTGTGGAAGAATGTCGCCCTTTACAACAGCTTCTGCGAGGTCGTCATTATAATTGGCCAATCTCCCAAGAGCCAAAGCAGCAGTCTGTTGAATTGTTGGGACCACATCCAGAAGAAGAGGCCTCAGCAAAGACATTACACCTGAGTTAAATTATGAAAGAACAGAAATCGGCAGAATTTAAATAAAAAGGGAAAAATACAATTCAGCATAAATGCAGACAGTAAAATTAAAGGGAAAAAAGTCAGTGAAAACAAATCTCTTCACTAAAAACTAATGGGAAATTTAGAAGTACCTACCTGACCAAGACACAGAATAATACAAGCTATCACTATTAAACATGCAGTACAGCATGGAAATAAGAAAGACTTTGGATTTAGGTAAGAATACCTGATTCAGCAAGTACTGTCTATGTGACCTGAGAGGGTTGTCATGAGGCATGCAGAGAAAGGTTGTAGAGTATGCTATGATGTCTAACACAAAAAAGATAGGGCTTCCCCCCAAGACTTTGCAAATCTTATCTTTCAAGGCTCATTTCAGGGCCTCACCTACATATTATATCCAAATAAATTTCTTGGAGATAAGGACATGTATTACTAGTTCTCATCATATTCATCCTAGAGTTGAATGCATAGTAGGTATATCATCATCATCACCAGACAGCAACAATAGTAAAAGTAGCTCATATTTATGAAGCACTTATTATATGCAAGCACTGTCCTAAAAACTTTTTTCCATAATAATTCATTTAACTTTTATAACAAAACTATGAAGCAAGCCCTACTATTACATCTATTTTATAGACAAGAAAATTGAGGCTGAGAAAAGTTAATTGTCACACAACTAATGAATGGTGAAGCAGGGTTATAATTTAGACTTTTTATTGATAATTGTTAAATAATATATATTTTAAACTGAGAAGATGGGAAGAGAGAAAACAGTAATAATCGCCTTGTAGTCATTTTACTGGATATTCCAACTCTTTCTATTAACTTTGCCTTACTATAAAATCTGCAAAAGAGTCAACTGCTATTTCTGTTTTAATGATGCTGTTTTAGTCTAAGATTATAAGAAAGGTAGTGACAGAATTAAAACTATAACAAAGGACCTCCTGACTTTCTATACTTAATTTACACCAGTCTATTCAAATAAATATCATTAACTCTTTTCTTTAAAAACATATCCCAGTTATACATAAAAGCAAATATTGCCAATATTCTTTTATAGTATTATATGCAGAAACATTTGAAATAAAACAAAAAGAAAACATTTACAGTAACACCTAAACACTTGATCTTAGCCAAAGGCCAAGAAGTCATTACACTAACACTTAGGATTAGACCAAAATAAGGGTACTAGCAAATAACATAAGCAGAGAGCAATGATGCTTATCACAGACACATTTAAAGATGTGACCTGTGGATTTTCCCAGTTTCCAGTTTTACTTAGTCATTAGTTTTGTGCTTAAGTTGGCTAGGTTAGATCATCTATTACGGTTGCAGGTGTGAATCCTATGAAGGCTGGTTAGCTCTGCAGGCACACAGAACCCCTGCCCACACTTGAGTCATAGCTCATATTCAATAAATCCAGTGTTCATGGGTGTTGCATATATATTATTATCTATACTGTTTGACAGAGATAATTTCTGAAATATCTCACAGATAATTCTGTGTTTAAAGCACAGAATACAATATTAGCATGACTACTCAATATTAACACAGGTTATTCCAGGAAAAATGGATTTAAAACAATTGTCCAGCTCTTTGTAGTTTGCTTTACTACTTGATTCATTGTTGTTGTTGGTTTTTTACTGGGTAAAATATAAATACAATGTACCATTTTAACCATTTTTAAGTTTATAGTTCAGTGGAGTTAAGTAAATCCACAATGTTGTGTGACCATCCCCACCAAGAACAGGCAAACTGTTTTCCACAGCAGCTAAGTCATTTTACATTACCATCAGTAAAGTACAAGGGTTCCAGTTCTCCCACATCCTCACCAACACTTGTAATTTTCCATTTAAAAAAAGTAACAGCCATCCTAATGTGGATTGAGGTGGTATCTCATAGTGATTTTGATTTGCATTTCCATAGCACTAATAATGTTGAGCATTTTATGTGCTCATTGGCCATTTGTACATCTTCTTTGGAGAAAAGTCAGGTCAAGCCCTGTGCCCATTTTTGAATTGGACTGACATTGTGTTGTCATTGTTGTTGAGCATTACATGCTTTTATTTTTTGATTTTTTATTTTGAGACAGAGTTTTGCTCTGTTGCCTAGGCTGAAGTGCAGTGGTGCAATCATGGTTCACTATAGCCTCAACCTCTAAGGTTCATGCATTCCTCCCACTCAGCCTCACAAATAACTGGGTGCATCGCACCTGGCTAATTTTTTATTTTTTGTAGAGATGGGGGTCTCACTATGTTGCCCAGATTAGTCTCAAACCCCTGGGCTCAAGAGATCCTCCTATCTTGGCCTCCCACAGTGCTGAAATTACAGGCATGAGCCACTGTGTCTGGACTTACTTCTTATTTTTTATAATGAATATGCACTATTTTGATTAAAATAAGTCCATACTCTAAAAAAGAAAAACTAAATCTGTTAACATATATTTAAAGTTTCATAATAAGTACATTAACAAGGCCAAAAAAGTAAGCTTAGGTTTTTGTTTTTTTTTTTTAGAATAGTTTTAAAGTATCACAATTGGCTGGACGTGGTTGCTCATGCCTGTAATCCCAGCACTTTGGGAGGCCAAGGCGGGTGGATCATGAGGTCAGAAATTCAAGACCAGCCTGGCCAACATGGTGAAATCCCATCTCTACTAAAAAAAAATACAAAAATTAGCAGGCCATGGTGGCAGGCTGGGAGGCTGAGGCAGGAGTTTTGCTTGAACTCAGGGGGCAGAGGTTGCAATGAGCTGAGCTCATTCCACTGCACTCCAGCCTGGGCGACAGAGTGAGATTCTGCCTCAGAAAAAAAATCACAATTAAGTTTCATGTTATTTTTTCTTGATTATTCTGGGTTTTTGTTTTGTTTTTTGAAGGAGTATATGTGGGTGGGTTTATTTCCTCACTTGATAGATTTATGTAAAGGCAGTGATTTATCATATTTTGAAATTCTTCATATTGAATTATATTTTGAATTAAATCTAAAGAACATTGAACACATATTAAGGATTTAAGAATGAATTAATTCACCTGGCATTCTAATATTTTATTATAAGTGTTTATTATAGTATTTAATTGCCATAAATCTCCCAATTAAAAAAATTTAGTTTATAATTTAGAAGTAAAATATGTTGCCCACCCAAAAACATATTAACTATTCCATATACCCAAGGGAATTTTTTTTTTCCTTTTGAGACAGAGTCTTACTCACTCTATCACCCAGGCTGGAGTGCAGTGGCACCATCTTGGCCTACTGCAATCTCTGCCTCCCAGGTTCCAGCGATTCTTCTGCCTCAGCCTTTTAAGTAGCTGAGAGTATGGGCATGCACCACCACACCCAGCCAATTTTTGTGTTTTTAGTAGAGACAGGGTTTCCCCATATTGGCCACGCTGTTTTCAAACTCCTGAGCGCAAGTGATCTACCCATCTTGCCTCTCAAAGCGCTAAGATTATAGGCATGAGTCACTGTGCCTGGCTGGAATTCTCTTTTTTATATATTTTCTCTGCGTTTCTACTGCATTAGGCTAATTAAATATTAATATAAGGCCAATAAAATGACTCATATTTCTCTTCCTTCTATTTCTAAATTCAATGTCAAAGTTAGGCTTATATGTGAAATGCTTCTGCTCTATCATGATTTTCCTATATTGTTTAGATAGTAGCACAATGAGAATTTTGAAAAATTTTTAAATCTACAAATGTATATAAATAAAAGCTAAAGTGTCCATTTGAAATATCTGTTGGAATAACCTTATTTGATGAATGACCTTCAATAAGGTCATTTTTACTGGAGAAGAAAATAAATTCTCAAAAATAGTACCCCAAATTTCTAGTACTTAAATTGCCTCTTAGTGCTTCATAATTATCAGTCCCCATGTGTTTCTCTTCCTCTAAAGTGACATGTTTTTACCTCTTACACATATTAAACATGGAGACTTTGCTTTTCTAACTGCAAGTTTCTCTTAAAATTACAGGGAACAGGAGGGGAAGAGAGGGGAGAGGAGGGAAGGGAGAAATTTTTCTTACCTGCCTGTCCATTAGGTATCCAGAGATCCATGGTGAGTGAATGCATTAAAATTTAGAGTTCACAAATTAAAGCAATCCAAATAGTTGCCACAATATCTGATAAACAAGGCCTCTAGTAAGGAGCAAATGACATCACTGGGGCTCAGTTGAAGAACCCAACATACACTTTGTAATATTATATCCAGTACCAAAAATAACAATTCATATACTAAACACAATTATCTATAAAACATTGTGTACTCTATAAAAACTGATGAAATGGTATGAATATATTTTTGAAATTTAACTTAAAGACAAATCCTTACAATGCTTCCATATACACAATTTATAGCTTTGAGTTCCTTGTCTATTTTTCTTATTCTAATGCCATACTGAAAACATTACTTTTTAATTTTTATTTTATGTTTTTCACATGGTTTTGCCATGTTGCCCACAATGGTCTTGAACTCCTGGGCTCCCAAAGTATTGGGATTACAGGTGTGAGCCACCATACCTACCCTGAAAACACTGCTTTTAATTCCTACATTGCAATCCAGCTATGAAAAAATAAAAACAGAAACAAGAACCCATCAAAAATAAAAATTAAAAAAAAATAGTTTCACTGATCCTGTCCACAGTCATTCATTCAAAAAATATATCAGGGTTAACCATGCAGCAAGCAATAGGAATACATATATGACTTAAGGCAGCACCTACTATCAAGAAACTAATAGTCTAGTGAAGGAGCTTATAAAATAGCCTCAAAACAATCACAACTCTTTCATTTAATCTGTTATAACACAATGCAGGCCAAATTATTTTATTTTGCATGCCAGTGACATATAGAAATCATTGAGAAGAAAATGTCAAATTTTTCCAATGTCAGAAAAAAAACCTCATCCATTCTTATATTACAAGCATATAATTTATATATATATTACCTCAGTCTGCTGTTTTACAAAAACATTTAACATTGCAACTTTGTTCCTTTAAAAACAAGTATCAGCGCCCCCCCCAACAAGTTTACATAAGTAACAAACCTGCACATGTACCCCTGAACTCAAAATAAAAGTTAAATGGGGGAAAAAAAAAACTAATAACAGGATCTGCAAACTGGATCTTCAGTCCACTTAAGTCATAGTAAAGTTATCTGGTTGCCCTGGTTACCTCTAACCTGCTTTGTTAATTTTTTTTTTTATCATGGCAAAATATACATAACAAAGTTTATCATTTAAACCATTTTAAGTGTACAATTAAGGGCACTGAGTACATTTACAGTGTTATACAATCACTACCACTATCCATGTCCAGAAGTTTTTCATTACCCCTAACAGAAGCTCTATACCCAGCCAGATGCAGTGGCTTACACCTGTAATCTCAGCACTTTTTGGGAGGCTGAGGCAGGCAGATCACTTGAGCTCAGGAGTTCAAGACCAGCCTTGTCAACATGGGGAAACCCGTCTTTACTAAAAATACAGAAATTAACCAGGTATGGTGGTGCATGCCTATAATCCCAGCTACTAGGGAGGCTGAGGCAGGAGAATCACCTGAACCTGGGAGGTAGAGGTTACAGTGAGCGCAGATGGTGCCACTGCATTCCAGCCTGGGTAACAGAGTGAATGAGACTCCATCTCAAAAAAATTCATTCATAAACTTATAAAATATGTTAAATATTTGTTACTATACATTTTACAAAGCTTTAAAAATTTAAATTGCAACAATATGCTTCATTTTAATCTAAAGTTACATTCTATGTAACCACTTACTATGAAACTGCTAGTACAGTTCATTCAAGTTTTAGGAGAAGTGATTTTTGTATGAAATTAACCAATTACACAGTAAAAGATTCACCTTTCACTGTCAATATTACCATCCGACTCAGGCATTCTTTCTGGGGTCCAATGAGAAAGAACATAATAGAAACTTCATGCTTTACAAACAGAAGGAAGGTTATGTGACTGCCCATGTTGAGAGGCAACAGAGTGAGGTGGTTAAAAGCATGAATCTAGAGAAAAACTAATTGGGTTCAAATCTGGACTCTGTTACTTCCTAGCTAAGGAACCTTGGCAAGACTACTTAACATCTCTGTACCTCAGTTCCCTCAAATTCTAGTACTACTTATAAAGTTATTGTGAGAATTAGATAAAATTTCTACAGTGCTAGGAAGATTAGAACAAAATAGACACCATCAAGTGCTTGATAAATAAAAATGCTAAAGAAATCAGTTCCCTAAATGTATTATAGTTTCATCAACATAATTTTATTATTATTAGTGAATGACTCATTAATTAATAGCATCCATTGTAATGAACTATTAAAGATTCAATGGCCCCACAGATTGAGGCTTTATTGTTTACTACTTCTGAATTACTCTTGAATGAATAATTCATTCAAGATATATCTATCAAGAAACTTCTCAAGGAACTTCTAAAGGGGTTGTGACAGATAATCCCAACATATTATGATGTATGCCACAACAGAAGTAGAGAGAGCTCTGCAAACATACACCAGAGCATCTAACCCAGGCTTGGAGGGACATGGGGAAGCAACACAGGGGAAAGTGACCTTGAAGTTAAGAGCTGAAGGCTCTCAGGCAGACTTTGCCTGCCTGCTGAAACACTTGGAGGGGGTGGAGAGAGGAAGAATCAAAAAGTATCACAATCAGAAGGAACTGTATAAACAAAGAGCAAAACGAGTTTGATATGTTGATAAAACTGAGAATGCAGTGTGACTATAATGCAAGAGAGGAGACAGGAAGCTAGAGAAAGAAGGCTAAGAGATAAATAGACAAAAGTCCTGAAGTATCCAACAAACTGTTTTAAGTATTTTGAACTTTATCTGAACAGTAATATCAGTGCAGTAACAGGATCAAAATCACAGTTTGTAAAGAAGGATCACTCTGATCACAGTGGAGAAAAAGGATGACAAGGGACAAGATGAGACACATCAAAGACCACTTAGGAAACTATCATAGTTACCAAGCCAAGTATGAAGATAGCCTGGAGAATGGTAATGGCAAAAGGAAAGGTGAAAGTGAAAAGTCTAAGGAGATATTTAGAAAACAAACTGATTATTGGAAAGGAATCAGTGATATTTCCAAGTTCCTGGTTTGGTCAAAGGATGTATGGTGGTTGCCCACTGTTGAAGAAGATTCAATACATTAATACTGGCTTGCTGGCAGGCCGGGTGCGGTGGCTCAAGCCTGTAATCCCAGCACTTTGGGAGGCCGAGGTGGGTGGATCACGAGGTCAAGAGATGGAGACCATCCTGGTCAACATGGTGAAACCCCGTCTCTACTAAAAATACAAAAAATTAGCTGGGCATGGTGGTGCGTGCCTATAATCCCAGCTACTCAGGAGGCTGAGGCAGGAGAATTGCCTGAACCCAGGAGGTGGAGGTTGCGGTAAGCCAAGATCACACCATTGCACTCCAGCCTTGGTAACAAGAGCAAAACTCCATCTCAAAAAAAAAACTGGCTTGCTGGCTTGAAACATAAAATGGGAGGAGTGAGGTAGCAAGAGACAAAGCTAGGAAGTTTACTTATGGCCAGATCAAATTTGGCTGCAGGCCAAACTAAGATTTTCTGATTTTATTGTAAGGGGAATGGAAAGCCACTGAGGAGCTTTATTGTTTGCCCTACTTACTGTCAGGGAAATGAATAAAAATGAAAATTTTAAATAATTCCAGGTCCACCATGTATAGCTGTGCAGGCTGCACACTGCACAAATCCAAGGAATACCATTCACAAAGATTATCATATAAATGGCACCCTTGAAGTTGTGCAGAGCACAGCACAGCAACCATCCTTGATACAGCATGTTATATGGTTCTCTAGTTTACATGAATAAATGTCTTATATACTGAGTAAAATAATAAACCTCTCAGCAAGGCGCAGTGACTCATGCCTGTAATCCCAGCACTTTGGGAGGCTGAGGCAGGTGGATTATTTGAGGTAAGGAGTTTAAGACCAGCCTGGCCAACATGGTGAAACCCTGTCTCTAATATACATTAGGCTGCCTGTAATTTCAGCTACTCGAGAGGCTGAGGCAGGAGAATCACTTGAGCCTGGGAGGTGGAGGCTGCAGTGAGTGCACTCCAGTCTGGGCGACAGAGTGAGACCCTGTCTCAAAAAAAAAAAAAGGAACCAACAAAAAAAGAAATAAATCAAACTTACCTTTTCCAAATACTCTGAAGAAAAGATTTTGCCACATACTTTATCTGCTTTGGTAATTACTTTGGACATATTTATTAAGGCAAATTCTCTTATTAGCATATCAAAAAGAACAAAGATCAGAAACTTAAAATGAAATAAAAACTCCACCGACAATGTTCATCTTTAATTTTTCTTTCACATAAAATGAATTAAAAAATTCTTAACAAGGTAATTATTGGTTTGATCATGATGACTACATGGAAAATATTTTTTACATTATCTAGGATCCAAGATATATGTTTACTTAAACAGCATATTGGATGGAAAAGTGAGAAAACAAACAAAATCTTCCTAGACATGCAGACAGTATGTCAAAGTCAGGAGTAAAATGCGTTGGTATCTTAAGCTACCAAAATGAAGGCATCTGACTGAAAAAAAGTTTGATCATAATATGTAATTGATATATACATACTGAGGCTCATTCTAAAGCACTTTAAAATCCATGGTAATTATTTTTAAAGAATAAATCATTTGAATGGTTAAGTAAATTGATGACTAAAAAAGAAAAGTGGCTGGGTGTGGTGGCTCATGCCTGTAGTCCCAGCACTTTGGGAGGCTGAGTCGGGTGGATCATGAGGTCAAGAGATCAAGATCATCCTTGCCAATATAGTGAAACCCTGTGTCTATTAAAAATACAAAAATCAGCTGGGTGTGGTGGCGCGCACCTGTAGTCTCAGCTACTTGGGAGGCTGAGGCAGAAGAATCCCTTGAATCCAGGAGGTGGAAGTTGCAGTGAGTGGAGATCACACCACTGCACTCCAACCTGGTGACAGAGCAAGACTCCATCTCAAAAAAAAAAAAAGTCAGAAAAGTTTTCATAACAAAGCTTACAGGTTATTTTTTAATCAAAAGAATAAATGGATTGAAGTATTCATGATGTCTCTATTTAAAATTGCTAAAGGAATGCCTGGATTGAATCTAGATAGCATGAAATATGTTAAAATGAAGTTTCTCAGGAAAATAAACATTTTAGTATGCTATCCAGATATTAGTCAAGTACAGAAAATTTCAAAACATAAATTCATACTCCTTTCGTATTCCAGTCTTTCCTAAGCCAAACAACAAGTGTAGAATCTTATATCTAAGCCACTTATACTGTCGATTTGGATTAAATTCCATTGTGTACTCTACATTGCACTCTTATGGGAGGAGCTAACCTGCCATTACTCACTAAAACATGAATCTCCACATCTTAAAGATTATATACACTTTACCATCTCAGTATTAAAATTTAAAAATAATATCAATTATTTTCCCATTTTAAAAAAGTTTTAGTTTGGCTGTATTCATATTGTCCAGAAAGTAAATGTTAAGTAGTAAGTGTCCATTTACAAAGGCCATTGAGAGGGACTGAAAGAAAAAACCCTAAAAGTTTACACTTTAAAATGTACTTTTAAATGCACTTTTAAAATGTAATATGTTCTAATATCTTAGTCTGCATATATTTAATACTGTGTGCCCAGTATTTTTCTGGGCACTTTGAGGAGTACAAGTGCGTACATACACACACACACAGAGAATACAGAAAATTAATCCATATAAAACAACAACTATAGAACAAAGGATTATCAATTCTGAAATGACAAACTTTTAGAAATGGAGAACAGATTAGTGGTTGCTCAGAGTTAGGGATAGAAGGTGCGTGTGGCTATAAAAGGGCAACGGAAAGGGTCCTTGAGATGATGAAAGTGTTCTGTGTCTTGACTGTGCTGGTGGTGAATACACACAGAAGAAAATTCTATAGGACAAAACACACAAACACAATTAAAACGAGGAAACCTAAATAAGATCAAGGAATTTTTATCAATGTCAACATCTTCCTTGTGATATTGCACTATAGTTTTGAAAGATGTTACCATGGGGGAAACTCAGTAAAGGGTACACAGGATCTCCCGGTTTTATTTCTTATAGATGCATGTGAATCTACAATTACCTAAAACTAAAATTCTTTTAGAAGATTGTAAAACACACTTTATTGTAAATATATTCCCCCCTAATAAAAACAAAGAACAAATGCCTAAAATCCTAGTGACAAAAGGAAATATCACATAGGTGCAGTAGTAATTCCCCTCAAAGAAACCCAGAGAAATGATTACACCTATGTATTCTTGCTGTCAATGTTCTTAAATTTTTTAAACTATCTGTTAAATTAGTTTTAAAGATCACATCCTATCAACTGAAGATTTCTCATGACACACTAGTGATACAATGCTACCTTACAGTTTAGATGGTGGTAGAATCACCCCCCCCAAAAAAAATTTTTTTAAAGGACCATCTTTCTCTTACCAATTTCTGTTGAGAGATAAGAAGATCTCTCTCTCTCTCTCCTCACATCCGCAAGAGTTCGTAGTGAGGAGTAGAATGAATGCGCCACAAGGATTTCGAAAAGTCTGGTCTTTACCTACTTTGAATTTCTTGGAAAAGACTCAAGCATATCATTCCTTTATCACTAAAGCAAGATGAGAAATCACGTGTAAACCACTGGAATTTCTTTGCTGTGAGGAAGTCGAAGGTGATCAAAGGCAGGGTGACACGCAAAATGGCACTTGGATAAAATGGGTCTCATTAGGGTAGAGTCCCACTCACGTAAATGACTTCCAGGCAATTCCTAGGGCCTTGACTTTCAACCTGACACTTGCCTGTGTACAATGAAGATGAAAATAGAAACACCGTGCCCCTCCCACACCCATCTGGAAGCTTCAGCCTCTCGGCCTGACCCCCAAAGACCCGCTGAAAAGAATGGATACTTTTGGGAACTCCCGTCCCCACCCCGCGGCTCCCGAAGAGCTCCACTGGCAGGGGAGCGGGGCGGAGGCGCTGGGGACTCCGGCGCGGGGCGAGGCCGGTGACAAGGGGCGACGCGGATTCAAGCTGCGGACTCACCCGCGTTCTGCAGCGTCTCGATGTTTTGGGGTCTGGTCGCCAGCTCCGCCACCATCTGCACGAACTGGGTCCGGGCCTTCTGGTATTGCTCGAACACTGAGGGAGAGAGAGTCGGTGGAGCGGCCTGCGGCGCCTAGTTCACCTCGTAGCTAGCCCGTCGGGGCGCCCGCCAGCCCCGGGCCTACCTTGCAGAACCTGCCTCTGACTCATGGCGCCCCCGCCGCCGTCCGCAGTCCTCAAGCTCTGCGAGGAAGCGACTCGGCCTGCAAGTCCGCCGAGGGGACTACGGCGACGACCACTCGGCCTCCGACGTGAGCCTCTCCTCTGTGTACCCACGTCTCCCGGGCAACCGACCGGAACCGGAACGCGGCCGTCTCGCGGCAACGGCCAGTCCCGGGCGTGACGTCACGGTCGCGGTGCCCGGGCGCCCCGCGCGGGGCAGCGGCGCGAAGACTCGCGAGCCCGGGGACTCGGCCTGCAGGGGGTCCCAGTGCGCCAGACTCGCAGAGCCGCGGGGACATCGCGCGCCGTCGAGTGTACCTGCACCGCCGGGAGGTCCGGGCTCCTTACAAAAAGATCGCCGTGGTGTCCTGACTGCGGCGCTGGTCGGGACCGAGCGCCGGGAGGGCTCCACGCGCCAAGGGAGCGTGGTTCAAGAGCGGCCAGACGAGTAAACTGCAGCCCTGGAGTTGTGTGAGCTTCGAGGGTCCTGAAAATCTCACACGTGACATTGTACAATCTGATCAACACGTTAATGTCAGAGCAACTTGAGTGTTGCCTTGGCATTTAACGCTGTATCGACAGTAAAACACTGACTTTAGAATCCGTGTTTTGCTTTGTAACCCAACGGTTATACACCTGGCATTCTTGGTTTCAAGATTCCTGGAGGATCATGACAACCATGTTCTTACACTTAATTACACCGTATGGAAGCATTTAATGAGCACTCAGAGACTCAATGAGGAAAACAGATGAGCAAAGGATGTGATAAATGTCCTGTCTTCCCTGGCTTTCTCCTAATGACTCCTAATTTTGCTGTTTCCCCGCTTTTATGTGATTTGTAAACATTTTGTCTTAGTCTTTTAAATGTAGGCTTCATTATGTTGATGAATGACCCCTCTAACAGAAAAGGAGAGAGAACCTTTACCTGGAAAACCAGTCCCTATCTTATATAACTTGAACCCTTTACCCAGTTTCTTTTAACAAATTTGAAGTAGTCTATCACTGATTTCTAACCTGTCTGAAAACTATATACCAGTTGTTTCAATGACAGTTGTCAAATTTAAATGTTCCTCCATCAAATCTACAATTTCACGAGACGTCAAGTGGATACATAGCCACAGCTGCTGCTAAGTAGTGCCAAGACAGGAAACCCCTTGGTACTTCTTCAACAGAAGGGAGCATGCAAACTTAGCTGGATCTATAGTTGCAATGAGTTCTCTATAATCATCTTTGAGGTCTCACCCTGACCTGAGCTCTTTGATGAAGTCCTAATATTTTGTGGGGCTCCAAATGGACCAGCAATCAGACAGAAGAATAAGTGTGTTTATCCGGTCTCTAATACCTCCGAGAGCAGGTACATGTCTTCTGCTTCTGCAGCTCAGAAACCAATGATGGCCACAATCGTTTTACTTAACTCAAAGTCATAAGTTTTACAGTGTTATCTATATTTCCCTAAGGGAATATGTCCTTTAAAATTAAAGTTGTTGTGTGTTCCCATTTAGAGACGTGGGAGGAAACAGATTGAGTAAATAATTAAGATTGCAAATAAGCCTTGTAATTTTCAGTTCCTTGTTGAATTATATATAAAAAAAATCCCCTTAAAACTAAAAGGTTTTATATTTGGTTTCAGCCCTTAAACAAACAATTCAAACTCTTAAGCTACAACTGCCAGTTTTAGCAACTGGTTTACTATTTGTTTTCTATTTTTAAAGTGTTAATAGCTCAATGTGGGGGAGGCTGTGGGGGAAGTCTAAACCTATAAACATAACACAGCATGGGTTGCCACAAAGTTCTTGGAAAACATACGTTCAAAAGCTGTGTAAACTAGAACCCAAGTATCTGTTATGAATAATATCTTTAATTTGTATTGTTCCTGATAAAACAATATAGGATGCCTACTTCATATCTGAAATTGGACATATTAAAGCAGCTAGATCTTTGCTCTTTATTGTAGCTTCCTTTTAAAAAATCTTAAAAACTAAATGGAGAAATGTGTGTAATGCAGAGTGATTATAATATACATATAAGTGGATACCAGTAATTCAAGCATAAAATATGGCAGATTACTTTTACTGACAAGAAAACCAATCTGTATTTTCTAACCCCATTTTTCAATGTACTAACTCTAAAAATACTATTCTGTTTTCTAAAGTTAAATGAATGTCCCATGATCACATACACACCTCTAAACTAAGTATTAAGCAATGAAAAAGAAAACAATTTAAAGGGATACATCAGTATTTTTTAAATATTACCATTGTTAAAACACCAGCTTACTTTGAAGAGATACAATGTAACTGAAACAGAAAACTATACATTTTATTGAGAATGAAACATTAGTAGAACAATTTGCGAAAAAAGTGTTTCCATGAGAGGTTTGTTTGGAAGCCTTTGGCTACTTTTGTAAAAAGCTAATCATAATATATAACTTCAAAATAACTTTTTCAAGTAATTCCTCCTTTAGTTATGAAAATGAGACTGAAAATGACAACAAAATAAAGCCAGTTTTAAAATCCTTTTGTTTCTCTCTGCATATCTCCTTTGAGAATTCAGAAAATCCTATTATCAAGGGAATATATGCTATACATGCCTAAAAGAAGCTTTATTAATTTTAACATCCACGTATTTTTTCTTCAGTTCCTAGCTGAATTTTAAAATTTAAAGATTTATATATGCTAGATATTAACATCCACATTTTAAAACTGTCATTGAGATGAATCAAGTGTATATATATATATATGTGTGTGTGTATTCTTCATCAAGCCAAACACGTATTATCAATGTGTGCCAAACACCTTGCTAATAAAAGAATGTGCCTTTCTTCCAAGACATGAAGTCTAGTAAGAGATAGACATCACTTCATTCTACCAGCATATACCGCAGCCTGTATTCATTCAATGGGCATGCACTGCAGTCTGACACTGTTTTAAGGGCTGTAATTGCTCTCAGTGCTATTAGTGTTTTGGGAGACAAACAGAAGGAGCTTATGGGCAAAGTAGGCAAAGAAGTGAGAATACCTAAATCAACATTTAAATTATAAAAGCCTTCTTGTTTTTCATTAAAAATTAGCTGAGTTCTATGCAGCTATGAAATCTCCCTCCCCTAAAATAATAATTTTCCCAAAAAACATTGTTAGCATTTAAGAAGGCATTCAACTGGCAATTGCATGTAATTACTGAAGTTATGAAACTACATTAATCATTTTGCAAACACTAAATTTAAAATTACTAAAATAACTCCATAGTTACATACTTGAATTAAAAATAGAGGCATTGCTTAGTCCATAACCAAGTTAGTGGAATATAAATATTACCTATAATTATGAAAGTAAACATGACTATCTTAAATGTTGCATCGCGCCTCTTTTGGGAAATAATGTCAGGATTTTACGTCTGAGCCGACCATCTAGTTATTTCACCAAGTTTATCAGCAGAGCAGGACACTTGTACACTTACATCCGGGAAGGGAAGATTAACATTTCTATACATGTTTTGCATTTATGCCTTACTCCCTATTGTTGGCTTTTCAAACCATTTAAAGTCAACTCTTTGCATTTTAAAGTTTTTCTTTTTAGTGTTAAGGTCGATGTCAAGGTGACAGTGGTTTAGCTGGCCCGAAATTCCTAAATATCTACCTGTATCTGTCTTCCTTTGCAGTAATTCAGAGGATGAAGAGATGGAACTAATACTTTCCACTTCCCAAGAAACCCGTCATTAGGGGGATTCCACACAGGAATAATTTTGCTTCCCCAAAGGCACCATGTAGTGTAAAGTGATTGATATTAAAAATGGGTGCTTTCAATGTCTAAGTCCGAAATGCAGCATGACATTTTCTAAGGCAGCAGTGACGGGCATAAAAACAAATTATTGCAACTTAGTGTGTGTGATATATCTTCCGGTTAGACTTGCGTGCGTTTTCTTAAGTAATTAAAAACTGTACCCAAAGCCAACATCACGAGCTGGAAAACACTAAGCGCCCTACTCCAGATGTCAGTCAGCTGTCCCCTCAATACCTCCCACCGCTTTAAAATGTTGGCGTTGTTGGGCTTCTGTCAGAGAAGGTGTGTACCATCCTCTACGCCCTTTAATCAGGACAGAAGACAAAGACGGAAGGTGCCACATAGGAAACGACCCAGAGCCCACCAAGCCCGTGTCCGGGCCACGCATCCCCCAGGTGCGGGTCCCTCAAGGACTGCGCTGCGGCTGGCCCCCCGCGCCGAGCCGAAGCCGGACGCCGGCGGGTCCTTGAGCGGGTTGTGCACCGGGTTCCCGCTCCCCGGCGCTGGCAGGCAGCCGCGTCCAATGGACAGGAGTGTCGGGCCGAGGGCAAGGGAAGAAGGTGGTCCTCCCAGGCTTCCTCCGCGTTTTCCATTCTTCCCAAGTTTCTTCAACTCCGACTAGCAGCTCCGCGGTGTCTGCGAAGTTTCTAACCCGGGAGGCGGCGCGGGAAGCAGGCCGGGAGTGCGGGCGGGGGCACCGTGGGCGTCTCGGGAGGAAGGGGCGGGGGCGCGCAGCCCCAGGGCGCGAGTACGGAAGAGCCTCGCGGGTCTGGCCAGGGTTTCCCTCCCGCGGGGCCTCCTGGGGCGCGGCGGCCGCAATGCGGCCGGTGGAGGGGGCAAGCCCGACTCTCCCGCTCCCTCCGCGCCGTGGGCCGCCGGCCTGAGCTGGCTAGGGAAGGCGCGGCGGGCGACTGGCAAGGAAGGAGGCCTCTGTTCTTTCGCTTTGCTTCCTGGGCCGGGCTTCCCGCTGGAGCCGCACAGCCGCGCAGGGGCCAGGGCGAAGGTCCCGGCCCAAGCCTCCCAGGGGCGCGACTGTCCCGCGGGCCAGAGAACGTTGCGGCCAACTCACAGGGGCTGGCCCGGAGCCGCGGGCACCGGAACCCGGGCACCCAGGCCCCGCGGCGCTGCCGCTGCTGGAAAACTCGCTGCGACCGCGCGGGTCGGCCTACTTCGCCCCGGCTGTCTGCGCCCAGGACTTAGAAGAGCGCCCCGGCCGGGAAGAGTGGGGAGGAGGTTCAGGCTCTCTCTACTGAGAGTGGGGTGCCGAACTCCGCACCATCTTACATTGACCGGCCCCCTAGGACCCCGCGGCGCAGGCAGGATCCCAGAGGCGGGGACAGGAGCCAATAGCTGATTTAGAGGGAAAAAAAAATTAAAAAAAAGCAGTTGCACTTCATTGCGCAT